TGCCGTGCGCTCTGACGTCCAGGTCCTGGCAGCTGCGCGTTCTTCCAGCCAGGTCCTGGCAGCTGCGCGCTCCTCCTGCTAGGTCCTAGCAGCTGTACTCTCTCCTTTCGGGTCCCAGTAGTCGCCCATCGCCCCGCCCCTCCCAGATCGGAGCAGCTGCGCACTCCTCCACCCTGGTTCTGGTAGTTGCTCACCTCTTTGTCCTGATGGTGTCAGTCGTGGGCTCCAAACCCAGATCCTGACAGGTGTCCTACAAGATTATTCGTACTCCAGGGTGCTGCCTCAATATCATAGATAGTTGCCCATCTCCCGTAGATAACTTGGGAGGTGGTCTGTCAGGGGAGGCTTTGCAGTTCTTGAAATTCAGGGTGACTGAAGGTTTAGGTGACTTACCTCTATGTCTCCAACCCAAAAGCGGCATAAGACAGGTTAGGTAGACAGAAACTTCTAAAATGATTAACATGCCTATGAAGTCAAGTAGGAATCCGACCAGGCTAACGAAGATAGCGACACAAAGTGAAGGTGGAAATGCCAGGTGCTTTTACCTTGTCGACCCAGATGAAGAGTCGGGGCTTGAGCCTTTCACATGCGGACAGTTCGCTCTCTACTTTTCTATCGTGTTGTAGCACAGCTCAGAGGTCCTTGTCGGGACATGGGCATCCTTTACTCACCACATCATGAGCCGAATAAACTTCTTTATTTTTGTTACTCGGACTCAGATATTTTGTTATAACAGCCAAAAATGACCTGAGAAATGAAGATATGGGAAGATGCTCAAATCCAGGGTTCATCTGAAAAATGTGAAATTAAGCACCAATGCAATGCCATTCTGAGCCTTAGTCACACACAAAGTGTCACATTGTATTTTAGCTAAGTCGTGGAGATGATGGATGCCCCCTCAGTGCCAGGGACCTGGGATGGCCATTCTGAAGTCACTCCTACAGTACAGGTCAAGCCAAGTAGAGACACCGTTAAGCTCATGAACTCCATGTCTAGGTGTCCAAAAGAACTCGTGCTAATGATTGCGTTCTTACCAGCCTCCAAGCCGGGTGGGATGTGGCAGCATGTTAGAAGGCAAGAATACATTATGAGAAAATGAAGAGGGGACATACAAGATCACACACCACAGAAACAAGCCTTGGACAATGCCAAAATATGGACAGTATATGTATAGTGAAAAAGAAGAAGAAATTGAATGGTAAGTGTACTGTTCAGGGTTCTCTAGAGAAACAGAACTGAAACACAATTCATAAGAACTCAGTGAGAGAAATTGGGGTTCAACCTGAAGGCTTGAAAAGAAAAGCAGCCAGCCACGGGCTCTTCCCTCTACCTCAGTCCGAAATGGCGATCCTGCCTCCAGGAATCTCAGAATGAGACTGAGAGCTGTCTCCTCCCATTTTATAATCCTCTCTAGTTCTGGGATTAAAAGTGTGCACCACTGGGATTAAAGGCATGCACTGCCCAGTTTCTATGGCAACTAGTGTGTGGCTACTGGTATTAAAGGTGTGTGCCTGGTCTGTAAGGCTGTTTTATCTTCAGGCAAGATCTGAATTTGGGATGGTTTTCCCAGCTCAAATGATTCAGTCAAGAAAAAAAAAAAATCTCCCATAAGTGTACCAAGCCCCTTGGGTTTCAGTTAACTCCAGATGTAGTCACTTTGACAAGCAAGAACAATCATCACACACATACATGGTATTCATGTAATCCAAAAATGCTCAATGCATATACAGAACAATATGAAATTTTGCAAGAATGCACTCCAAAGAATATTGTATAAGAAGGCGTAGTCAGCTATCCACAACTCAGGACCCTGCTTCAGATTGAGATTAAAAATGTATTGTAAATGCGATGCTGCCATTTATATGTGCTGAACACTACTACAGCAGCCACATCTGCACTAAAGCTGTGCAGCCCTGTTCATTTCCTAAACAATAGAAAAATATGCATATACCATTCATAGCCTGTTGGAAATCATAAGTCATCTAGAAAAATTTAAATTAAATAGAAGTTTGCATGTAAACCTTATGATGTATGCATGTAAACGTTTTAGCTAGGTATAGTGGTACATGCTTTACTCTCAACACCCAGGAGTCATAGCAGGCAGATCTCTGTGAGTTTCAGGCAAATTTGGTCTACACAGTGAGTTCCAGGCCAGCCAGAACTATATAATGAGACCTTGTCACAAAAAAAAAAGTGTTGAGCGTGTATGTGTGCACACATGTGCCTGTGTTGAAATTTTGTCTAAGAAATTCATATGTCCTTAAGTGTTGTTAGCCTCATAGATTTAGAGCCAACCTCTTCAACAGATATGATATGTATGTATGTATGTATGTATGTATATATATATATATGTTATTCAAATTTGAAAATATTTTTGCTTCAGTTTAAAAAGTCTAATTGAGACCAGCAAAATAGCCCAGTGGGTGCAATCCTGGAGATCTGAGTTTAATCTCTGAAACCTAGGTGGAAGGAAAAAATTAACTTTACAAAACTGTCCTCTGGCCCTCACACAAGCACAGTGACATGGATGCCCACACACACACACAAACACACACACATCACACCATATTACACTAATTACATATCACACTAATTAATAATAATAATAATAATAAATTTTACAAGATTAAATTTTTTAAGCAGTTTTATTTGGGCACTTCTACATTAATCTACCTGACCATGGCCATATCCAATATGGTTCTCAAACTGTTGCTGAGGTCTGGTGCTCAAACTCAGGGCCTTATGCATCCTAGACAATGGCCCTGCTTATAATCCCGGCATTTGGGAGATGAAGACAGGGAAATTGTGAGTTCGAGGTCAGTTTGACCTACATAGCAAAGCCCTGACTTAAAAAGAAAAACCAAACCGAACAAAATAACAACAAAAACCCAGCTGTAATGGAAAGCCGTGAAGGAGAGGTGCGGAGAACCTGCACTATCATCTGAAAGCTGGGGCAGCACATGGGCACCCTGGACACTGCCCACATGCAGCATCCTGGAAACCCAGGCCGGCACAGTCATGGCCAAGGTGTGGCTGGAAGTGAAAGAAACAGATAGCAAAGTGAATGACTAAGCATTAAGGAGCTGCCCTTCAGAATCTGCAGTTGTGGGGATCAAATGAAGAGCCGTGCATACACTAGGGCAAGCCCCCACCACTGAAATGCATCCTAGCCTAGGAGCCGCCTTTTGTGTTCGATTAAGGATAAACATTGAAGACTGTTTTATCCTTTGGACTTAAAAGTTGCAACCACTCTTGAGAAGTCCACACTCCCTCAAGGGCGTGGGTTACTGTTCTTTACTTAAGCCTCTCTCCCTTTTTAAATTGTTTAAATTTTAAAATATCTACTTTTATGTGTTTGAGTATTTTGCCTGTGGGATGCATGCACACTGCTTGAGAACATGTGCCCAAAAAGACCAGAAGAGGGTGTCAGGACTAGACTTACAGATGGACATGAGCTGCCATGAACATGTTGAGAACTGACCTCAGGTCCCCTGCACAAATTCAAGTCTTCTTAACCTCTGAGCCATCTCTTCAGCATCCTCTCTACTCTCTTAATGCCTGTGCTTAAATCTATACTAAAACTTTTCTTTTGAAAATTTTTTATTTATTTGTGTGTGTGTGTGTGTGTGTGTGTGTGTGTGTGTACACATGTTGGTAGGAGCCTGTAGAGATTAGAAAAGGACATTGGACACCATGGAACCTTAGTTACAGGAGGTTGTGAGCCACTCAACACGGGCCCTGAATATCCATCCGCTGCAAGAGCAGCGTAAGTGCTGAGCCTTCTCTCCAGTCTCAAAACTGCTTATAAAAATATAACTCTGCTTCAAAGAAAACTGCATCAGACCAGTTACCTAATAACTACTACCTCTTAAATATTTTAGATGTAAAAACAAATATTTCGGATGTTTAAAATTCATTAAATTATATAAGATCCTAAAAATTCAACTATACCTGTGGCGTTCACAGCTATAAACTACCAACAGCAATAGCATAAAAATAATAATCATGTGAAGAATCTGAATTACTCCATATCCCTCTGAAACAATTCTCTCAACCCGGCCAAAGCAAACTGGGGTTTTGTTTCTAGGACTCTGAGTAGATGAATGATAGGAGACGAAAAAAGAATGGATTATGGGGCTCTGAAGTAAATGAGTGGTTAACTATCAAGGGGGTAGATATAGAGCCCTGGTGTTAATGATTAACCGGACACTGAAGTGGAGGGATAGAGCCTCGCAGGGATGAGAGACAGGGAATTAAAGTGGGTTGGATGATAAGGAAGTGGATGGATGGCAGGTCCCTATCCCTTTACCTTACATTCAGAATAAAAGCAACCACTTTGTTACAGTTGTCTATGGCTGTAATGGTAAAAACCGAAATAGCAACCAAAAAGGAGATTCTCTAAAGAAGAGTATTTGGAAGAGTAGGGCATCACATAGGGAACACATGCCATTGTAAACGAGGAGACTGAAGCAAGTACATTTTAAAAAGGGAGAGGAAGAAGATCTCATTAGATGGCCCAAAACATGGTTTTTTTGAGGACAGTTGTGGGTGATAACCCCTGCAGGACCCTCTGCACGGTGTGGCAGGACCCTCTGTGCGGTGGCAGTACCCTCTGCACGGTGGCAGTACCCTCTGTGCCATGGCAGGACCCTCTGCACGGTGGCGGTACCCTCTATTCGCTGGCAGTACCCTCTTTGCAGGGCTGTCCTCCTGGTGGAGTCTTTTGAGATAGTCCTCACTTGGCACACCTGCTCCACAATTATATATTTTTGGTTAGGGCTGAACAAAGGCATGGTGTGACTTCCGAGGATGTGAAAAAATGTCTATTTGTCCAATCAAGACACTACAATATAGAAGAAATAATTTCTCCAAGTTCACATTGGTGAGCCAATAAGTTTATTGGAATTACTGACAGGTCTTGGGAAGGGGTTACTTAGAGGATCACGGGTGAATCCGCAGTTATCAAAAGGTTCCACCTCAGCGTGGGAAAGCTGCGTCATGGGTGTTCCCGCCTCCCTGTTTACTCCAGTAGAAACCCCAAGACCATTGCAGCAGGGGTGCAATTATCCTCCTTCCTATGAGGGGGTATTAACAGTCCCATTACCGTTACTGTAAATCTAGAGTCGCTCATCCTTCAGCATGACTACTCCATAATGACCCATGGTCATATCGGGCCTAGAGGAGACCCTGTGCGGACAACAAAGACCGGCTCCATGTTTGCTTCTGACGGCTTTCCCCGTGTCTTCCGTCTTCGGCTCTGATGGCACTACCATACCTGAATTAAAAAGTAAAATTCTTGTTTAAGATAAGGAGACAAAGCCCAAGTGGGGAGTAGCAAACCACCTTGACTGCAGGATTGGGATATGGGTGGAGTACTTGGTGCCCTGTGACAGCGAAGAGACTGAGAAATCAAACCCGCAAGGATTGCAAGGAGACTACCAGGGCAAGATGGAGGCTCCCAGGGCAGCTGAGGGATTGCCCGTTGTTTTGTGCAGCTGTGACTGAATACCATTGGCTGCATAATTTATAGAGAAAAGCTTATCTGGGTTCCCAAAGCTGAAGAGCTGCATCTAGTGGCAGCCTTCTAGCTGTGGGAACTCTCCAGAATAAAGGCGTTCAGAGCACCATCACAGGGTGAGACAGAGCCACCAGCAGTCAGTTATAACAAAAACACCCCGGCGAGAATCCACAAATCCATCCGTCCCAGAGTGGACTAATCCAGTCCAGAGGCCTGCGATGATTTCAATGGTTGCATTCAATGCACTCTCCTACCGACAGGAGCCGAGAGCTGCATCGCCTGCAGCTCCAACGCCTCTCCTAAGGGGTTCTTTATTTCGCGGCTCGGCTGAGGCCTTCAGAAGAGGCCAGCTTACTTTCTCACCTCCTGGTGAGGAATTTGCTGTATTTCGTGAGCGTTTGTACTTTCATATTTTCTCCCTTGTTCTCGGACATCACGATGATTTCCTTGGATAAGTGTGCTCTGGGAGCCGGGTGGGGGTGGGTAGGGAAGCTGGGGCCGGGCAGGCGCTGGTGTTTCCTGGGGAAGGTCTGGGATGTGACCTGCAGCTTGCTTATGGCTGCATTCCTTCCTGATTCTCTCACCCAGGTCCGCCTTCCTCTCCCCACCCCACTCCCAGCAGTTCTATAGGGCCACCGCGGCTCCTCTACCCCTCCTCCTGACCCTTCTTTCTGCGCGAACGGCACCCGTCTTGAGGAAATACATACATACTATTTTAAAGTCCGAGTCGGGTCGAGTAAGCAGTTTTGTATGTTCTCTAGATACTGCTCGAAAGCCACCAGTTCCCTTTCAGCAGCCCCTAAGACGGTTAACTACTGTGCTCAGGTGGAGAAGCATGAATTACTTAAGGGCGCCAGGAGGAGGTGGTCACTTGCATCGAAGAAAATTTCGCCAGAGCCCACGCGGCTGGAGCAGCTAGTCTGGTGCACAAAGACACTAAACGTAGGGTACACACGGCTCTCAGATGGTAGCCCAGCTTTTCTCAGGCTGAATGGATTTGCCTCAATAGCTCCCATCGTCGATAATTCGCTTTTTCATTTGCTGATATAAGGAGTAATGGTCCACAGCAGGCCCTTCAGCAAACACAGGCGAGGAACAGGCCAGCTTACCTCCTCACATAGGAGAAAACAGCGCACTTAACCAAAGGACTCTTCAGAGCCCTGGCCCCCACCGCACCAGAGATGTCATTGGAGTGAGGGTAATGGTAGGAAGGCCTTTGTCCAAACAATGCCAGCTGGAAACTGCAGAGGACAAAAGATGCCTAAACTCCGTTCCTACTTTTATGAGAAACCTTGTCTCAAAACAAAAACAACAACAACAACAAAAAAAAAAAACCCCGAAACAAGCAAATAAAAGACAAATGAGAAGGAATGTGTAAGATATTTTTAAACGATTATCTTTGATCAAAGTTACCAATAAGCAAAAGGGGCAGCAGTCTGGGATTCGACAGGCACTTCTTGAGAAGCTATCCATATAGAAGTAATGTGTGTCTGTGCGTGCGAACACACATGTGTGCATGCATGTGTGTGTGTGCACATGTGTTGCTGGGCCCTGAGGCATATTAATATTAAACTCAGACTGTATCTAACTAACCTATGACCCTCAGCCCCTTAGAGAGACTTTAACATTTCTGTGAGTTTAAAAGCTGGTGGTTCTGGAGTCTTGTGAAGGACTACTATGTCACTTGACAGTAGGCCACCTTTCCCTCCCAGCCTCTCAGCTTTGCCCCTGCTCAGCTCCCTGCACTCTATGAAGACTGGCAGGACTTACTTTCACTCCCACAACTTTTACACTTTACACAATACCAGACCCATCGGGTATGTTTTTATAACAGTAAATGAACTGTAAAACAGGAAGTCTGTATTCAGAATCAGCCACCATAGGTAAGTCACCTCTGCAACGGAGCAGAGGGTGGGTGGGGTTCGTTCATTCTGCACACAGTGTAGGCACAGTAGCATACTGCCAAGGGGGACTGAAGGGGACTAAGATGTTGATGTCACTGGGAGAAGCACTTCATGCAGTTGACCTTATTAAGTTTGGTTTAATATTATTTTCACTTATTAAATGGCCTTAAGACAATGTCATGAGCCAGGTGTGGTAGCTGTTATCTAAACCCGCCAGAGATGGCAGCAAGACCATCAAGAATTCAAGGCTGAATGAGCTACCTGAGGCCTTCTCTTGACGATAACAAAACCCACTGTGAAAGTGAGCTGCGATTTATTTTACTACGTATCTTAACACCCGTGGTGGGGCCTCAGCAAGCCTACATTTTTTTTACACCTGCTATCTATGAAAGCGAGTGTGGATTTTTGCTTGCAAACATGGTTGTCACTTTGGGAGACTGCAGTTAACAGTGGACTTTCTGGCACACTGTAAAAAATTGTGGTATAGATTGCCAGCTTTCTTCCTTTGTGTATGGCAGTGTTCTTGCTTGAACTATGCAGCTTTACCCACCAGAATCATAGTCAGTGAAGCATTTGTCCTTGTTTTAATGAGCATCTATTTGATATTAGCATGATACAGCAAAAGTAGTGGTTATTTTTCAAGATTCTCTTTCCTATTCCTATCCTTAAACAATTTGTAAATATTCCCTAGTTTATATAGCTATTTCTATTATTCACCTTTTGACTCTTGGTAGCTGAACATAATTTTAACCCAAGGTTCATTTACATTGTGTGTATAGGAGGGTTAACACTCAAAATATGTTTTTCCCTAAGTGATTTTTGTTTGTTTATTTTTGTTTTTCAAGACAGGACTTCTGTGTGCAGCCCTGGCTGTCCTGGAACTCGTTCTGTAGACCAGGCTGGCATCGAACTCAAAGATCCACCTGCCTCTGCCTCCTGAGTGCTGGGATTAAAGGCGTGCGCCACCACCACTAGGCTCTAGGTGATTTTTGTTTTTTGTTTTTACAAAATTACTTGTTTTCTCATGCTAACTAAAACTATGGCTCCCTACCCCTGAAGTCTCCCAATATCAAGACACCCAACGCCATAGCTTGACTAGGCTTTCCAGGTCTGTTCTTTCTCCAACCATTGGCTGGGCATGGGATGGATGCCATGTTGTCTTTCCCCCTGTAGGCACTGGAAAAACAGCCACATCTCTGAGTGGGGAATTACAGTTCACTCTGCATTTTGGTGGGAGATAGAAAGGATGTGTGTTGATATAAAAAGAGCCCATAGGAATTACGTACCAGTTTGTGCAGGGCACCTTTCCAGCCTGTTCACCCACATGAACTCAACGCATCCAACAGGCATTATACCACCATCACATGAAGAAATAGAGGTGCGAACAAAGTGGATTACTTACCCCAGGCACGGCAGCTAATTCGCTTCAGACCGGGATTCCTCAACTGTAATATGCAGATCATGACTCAGTGTGTATGAGGCAGGGAGTTAGCGGTCGGCTTTTCTAAAGCCAGCTCTCCAAGTGATGCTGAAATGTGAACGACATAAACACACAGCCTTTTTATTTCTCTCTCAGCACCGTGTGTGTGTGTGTGTGTGTGTGTGTGTGTGTGTGTGTGTGTGTGTGTTTAGGTGCGTGCGCACAAACTGTTATGAGAGGCTTAACTTCTATAACCTGCTTCGTCCTGTAAATATGGTACCCATCGATTAGGTTACACCAGCTTTAGCTCCAGCTTCTGGCTTTATGGACGTCACGAGAATGCCTTCTCCAGAAGAAAATCTACCCTGCCACACACTCCCAGTGAAACTACATTAGTATGTTTTCTGATTTCCCGTGAACTGCTGAACTTCGCTCAAGGACTGTCATAGTAATGTGGTTTTGCTTTTGTTTCCCCTGGAGGGACACGAGGTAAAATAAATGGCAGTAGGAAGCTGTCATCTCCTCCTCCAACTAAGCAGGCAATAAGCTTCTCCCTCGTTCTTAATGAGAAACAAATGGCCAGTGATTTGACTCAACGAGAATCGGATCCTGCAGCATTGTCCCTTCAGCCACATCCACAACTGCCAGAGAAGCTAAATCTTCCTAGTTAAAACAAAGGGTTCAGACAAAGATGAGACACCTGAGCCGGCTCAGTCAACGCACTTTCGGATTGGTTGCGATACTGTCCAATAAGAAAAAAGAACTGGTGTCCCCTAGCTACAACATTTTAGGTTTGTCCAATCAGATGATACTGTTTTGGAGCCCTCATTTAAATATAAGGATGACAAATAACCCTGCCTCCGCCGTCTCCCTGTTCGTCTTGGTGCAGCCAGTGCAGCAGGATGCCGGAGCCTTCCCGCTCCACTCCAGCCCCCAAGAAGGGTTCCAAAAAAGCCATTACCAAGGCGCAGAAAAAGGACGGCAAAAAACGCAAACGGGGCCGCAAGGAGAGCTACTCCATCTATGTGTACAAGGTGCTGAAGCAGGTGCACCCCGACACTGGCATCTCGTCTAAGGCCATGGGCATCATGAACTCGTTCGTCAACGATATTTTCGAGCGCATCGCCAGCGAGGCTTCCCGCCTGGCGCATTACAACAAGCGCTCGACCATCACGTCCCGCGAGGTGCAGACGGCCGTGCGTCTGCTGCTGCCCGGGGAACTGGCCAAGCACGCTGTGTCCGAGGGCACCAAGGCTGTCACCAAGTACACCAGCTCCAAGTGAGGCGCTGCGCGGGCGTCCCCAACCCAAAGGCTCTTTTCAGAGCCACCTTCCAATCTCAAAAAAGGAGCGTGCTACCTGGTGTGATAAAGAACTGTCATTCACTTGATGTGCATTGGGTTGGGGGTTGTACTGGACATTGGGACACGAAGGTAATATATGCCTTCTTTATAAAGATACATTAATAAAGAAATTGATTTGGTTCAATTTTGGCCACTGAAAGCGTAGTTAAGTAGATGGTTTCCGGGGGCATTTTGGGGTGGACTGCGCGGTTGGGGTGGGGGCGGGGGGGGGGGGCGTCAGCAGCAGGATCTCTCATCTTTTCACCTTCTCCATCCGCCTCCCCTATGTCCTGCGGAGTGCTGTGTTGAGGCTCAGGTTGTTGTGCTTTCGTGACTGATGCTTTCGGGGCCATCTTCCTCCATCCCTCTGCTTCCTTCCTCCCCTTGCCAGGATTAGACCCTTAGAGCTCTTGGAGACAAAAACAGTTTAAACAGGTCTTCTGTAGTATTTTACTCGAAACGCCTAAAAATGCCATACACAGCCCCTTGCTCTCCAACCTTACCACTAAGCCAAAATCTGGCCAGGGAAAATTCTGACATTTTATCCACGCATGTATTTAAACGATGAAATGTTCTTTTGTTCATCTCAATGTATACATATGTGTGTGCACGTGAATATAGATCATAAAAATGTGTGTATGCATTAACACAACTCTAGTAAATGGTGAAACGACCTTTTAAATAAAGTAAATCAGTGCCTTTGAAACAACAGCAAAAAAATAATAATAACCCTATATGTGTTTTACTCAATTTATGTCTGCAATTAATGACTAAATGCAAGAACAGTCCAAACTACTGTCCTCCTAAAATTCCAATCTTAGTGGTTCATTGTATGTGGGAGAAGCCCATCTTCCATGAGCTCCTGGTTGCCCCTGGTTCCGATTGCATGTTGGTTTCTCTGGTGGACAATGGCGGTCTTTCTCCTCACACCATCTCCAGTGACAGGCGCTCATTTGTCAACATTTAACCTCTTACTGTCTCACACAGGAAAGGCGAGCCTTTCTGTTGGTAACTTCTTAAAGAGACAGCTTTTTCCCTTGCTCGAAATTCTTAGTTTGTTCCCTAATAATTAGCAAGTTTATCTTGAGCATCTAGTTGGGGCTGGGGAATGGCAGTTTCGTCATTATCTCAGACTGCACGCCTGCAGATCCCTCGTTCCCCCTCCACCCTCACTAACATTAAGTTTTTCAGATCCAGAAAACATATTATTTGCATTGTCCTCGCTGCTATGACAAATCTCGCATATTTGCTATGCACTGCTACACTTTCCAATTGTTCAATGCCACCTGGCCTTTCACTGTCATGACATGGAACTGGCGGCACTGATTTTGTACACAGTTAGTTGCTCTCCATTTTCTATATTATAAAATCTCAACAACACAGACAGTTTTTCACATTCTTTGTCACCTCTTTAATATTCATAGTCTACAGGAGGACAAATCTTCCCCATTCTGAGCTGTAGCTGACAAAGTAACACACCTGGGCAGCTTATTCTCAACTTCCAGTTTTTGTCAGGAAAAAAAAATTAAAAATTAAACCATTGTATTGCCAACAACTATAAATGTATTGTTATAGAACTATACTTGGAAATTATGATTGTGTGTTAGATTTGCTCGCTGATTCTATCTTTTGTACTAAAAATGTTTAGGTTCATCTGCCAGGCTCGTCTTTCTCCTGGAGGCAAAGGTTACAGTTTATTGAAACCATATGTTGTCCCAGGCCTAGACAAAGCAGCTGCAAACATTCCTTTAAAACTTGGGGCTGGAGAAATGTCCCAGGGTTAAGAATACTAATAACTCTTGCAGAGGATCTGAGTTCAATTCCTAGCACCCATAATAACTGGATCATTAATGGCTGACAGCCATCAATAATGCTAGTTCCAAGTGATCTGACCCCCTTTTCTGACTTCTGCATGCACGTGGTACACATAAATGCATGGAAAACCTTCATAGCTAAAATTTTAAAATGGATAGTTGACTCCAAGGCCTGGCCATGTGGGTCTGTAATGGAGTACTTCCTCAGTATAGCAAAAGTGTCAGAAGCCTTGACAGTCACTTGGCATCAGTTCACAGAGGACTGTATTCAGCCTTTTTTTTTTTTTTTAATGTAAATCCTGTTTGTGTTTTGTTTGGTGACAGTCTCACTGTGTAGCTCTGAATAGTCTGGAACCTGATATGCAGACCACACTGGTGTTGAACATACAAAGATTCCCCTGCCTCTGCTCCTCCCAACTGCTGCCATTTCAAGTCGACAACACCACATTAGGCTTCCAAATCCTCTATTTGGGAGACGATTAAGAATACTGGCATGGGTCCATGGTGGTGAATGCCTTAATCCCAGCACTAGGGAGGCACAGGCAGGCGGATCTCTGAGTCTATATAGTGAGTTCTAGACCAGCAAGGTCTACATAAAGACACTGACACACTGGTGTGTGTGTGTGTGTGTGTGTGTGTGTGTGTGTGTGTGTGTGTGTGAAAGAGACAGCAGACACAAGACAGAACGTGGTCTCCCCTATGATGATGGATCATGGTTTATGTTTTCAATTGTAACTAAAGAAGAAATGTACTGGGTCAAGTGGTTATGACAAGGCTTCTATTAATATGTACTTACTTATATATTTTTATAAAAAGATGTCAAATGAAAATAATGCCATATACTACACACTAACTACTTGTACCCATGAATGGATTTGAAATAAACAACCCAGGCAGAGGGAAAGAAGGGGACTGAGTGGTGTCTTAGTGGTAGAGACTTGGCTAACATACTAGAGGTCCAGAGTGTAGTCTCCCACCCAAGCCCTCCTCCCATCAGGCCTCAGTGGAAGACTCAGCTTCATTAAGGTACCATGATTCGTGCCTTAAACAACTGTCTGCTTTTCTGGTGTACCTCTTTAAACGCGGACATAATTTGGTTGGCATGTTTAAACTTCAATAGAAAACTCTGGAGATCAGCAATTGGTAAAATGTAATATACATATAATTGCTGTTGACAGAATATGAGGCAGAAGAAAAATAAAGACAAATTCTGAGAGAAAATAACCTGAAATATCTTTTAAAGAACTTACTTTGACCTGACTCGTGTTAATGTTCTAATGGTATTTTTAAGACTAATTTTTTTTTAAAAAAAAAAAGGGAGGGGGTGTCCTGTGTTGCGATTTTCATCCTTGCAGCTACTTGACTTATTAAAAAAAAAATACTTCAGATGCTAACTTTAAAACATTTGAAGTTGTCAAAAATCCTTTTTACATGAAAAGGGGGAGGCAGTACAGCTACTGTAGAAAATTTCAGTAGAGACATTTCTCCCAGCGACTGTCTCTTAGCATCTGTCCAAACGTACTTATTATTCTGTGCTAGAGACAGCGGTAAGATTCTCAATACATCTTATAACAGTTCAAATAATTATCATGAATCCTCTCTCCATAAATAAAAGCCAAACCAAGGAAAGCTGTGTTCTTTCCACAGGTAAGATTTCCTGCCCAAACGTTCCAGACCAAAATGGCATTCTCCGGAAAAAAAAAAAAAATGCTGAGTATGGAAAATTCTGTTACCAATGCTCTACAGAAAAGAAAGCAGCTTAGGACAGCAACTCATTTGCTCAAAACAGGATTCTTTCCCAAATCCTTCCATCCCCTAACCACTAAAGCTGCCGGCTGCTGCAGCTGGCTAGATCCAGCTCCTGCACACAGGCATTCAGGGTGTCGCCATGCCTTTACAACCTCGGTTCCAGCAAACCGCTAGGGCAGGATCTATTGGATGCTATAATGCCAGAATGGTCATATACAGGGGATAAGACGCCTGTTTATTCCAGGAGACGTTCTAAAGGAACGCAGATCTGAGGCCACCCAGGACGCGCGGCACCCAGAATCCCACTATGCTTGTGACCTCGCCCACCTGGGTAAGACTCGAGGCTTGGGGAGGGGACTCACGTCCCTTGCCTCCTCCCGTGGCCATCGTCCACATCCCACCCTTAGGAAGAGCAGACCGAGCAGCTGCAACCCTACATTCCTCATTCCAAATACATCTCTCTTGGTCGTACCCAGTAACAGGGAATTTCCATCAGGTGCGTGGCAACCATCAATGCCTCCACACACTGTGTTCAAGACCCTTTTAACGACCGTATGGGTGGCTCTGAAAAGAGCCTTTGGATTGAGGACGCCGGCGCAGCGCCTCACTTGGAGCTGGTGTACTTGGTGACAGCCTTGGTGCCCTCGGACACAGCGTGCTTGGCCAGTTCCCCGGGCAGCAGCAGACGCACGGCCGTCTGCACCTCGCGGGACGTGATGGTCGAGCGCTTGTTGTAATGCGCCAGGCGGGAAGCCTCGCTGGCGATGCGCTCGAAAATATCGTTGACGAACGAGTTCATGATGCCCATGGCCTTGGACGAGATGCCAGTGTCGGGGTGCACCTGCTTCAGCACCTTGTACACATAGATGGAGTAGCTCTCCTTGCGGCCCCGTTTGCGTTTTTTGCCGTCCTTTTTCTGCGCCTTAGTAACGGCTTTCTTAGACCCCTTTTTGGGGGCCGGAGTGGACTTGGACGGATCAGGCATACTGGCTAGCTACTGTGGAGAGACACGTACGTCCGCTGCACCAACTCTATTTGCACGCCTCGTATTCAAATGAAGGATCAAACATTGCTCGCTTTTGATTGACTACAACAACACATTATGTCATCCCAGAGCAAGGGATATGCAAATTAGGCTTGCCGTGTTCCTTTTACGATTGGCTAACGCTGCTATCCAATAGAAAGGCGCTGTCTAGCCTCCCTCCTGATCATATATAAGGGCTTGTTGGCGTTTACGGGGTCGTTAGCGGTAGCTTTATCGTTGGTTGGTGTTACTGTTTTGGTTATCAGTTGGAGATGTCTGGTCGTGGCAAACAGGGCGGCAAAGCTCGCGCAAAAGCGAAATCCCGCTCTTCCCGCGCTGGTCTACAGTTTCCTGTGGGCCGTGTGCACCGCCTTCTCCGTAAGGGCAACTACTCGGAGCGGGTGGGTGCCGGCGCCCCGGTGTACCTGGCAGCGGTGCTGGAGTACCTGACTGCCGAGATCCTGGAGCTGGCTGGTAACGCGGCCCGTGACAACAAGAAGACGCGCATCATCCCGCGCCACCTGCAGTTGGCCATCCGCAACGACGAGGAGCTCAACAAGCTGCTGGGCCGCGTGACCATCGCGCAGGGCGGCGTCCTGCCCAACATCCAGGCGGTGCTGCTGCCCAAGAAGACCGAAAGCCACCATAAGGCCAAGGGCAAGTGAGGCCCTTCTGGTCCTTAGTGCTACTTAACGGACACCAAAGGCTCTTTTCAGAGCCACCCACAACCTCAAAAAGAGCTGTACACTGAGCCTGTTACCGCCAGGTACTGGCCAGGGCTGGGTCTCCCGATTCCTTCCGTGCGTTTGTGTATCTCCGCGCGGCGCATGGGGTGGTGACCGCTCAGGCCAACGGCTTCCGTCTGCAGTTGGCCTGCGGTTTGTCCCCACCACTCTAGTGTTAAGCACTCGGTTTCCTTTAAGGTTCATGTTTAAACCTTAGGGGCCACTTGGTTTGGCTGGAGTTAGCATTAGGCTTTGGTAGGTTAGAAACTCGTGTTTCTAGTGAAAGCTAATGCGGCAGTTCTACCAAAGCGTAATTCAAGATAGGATCTAAAGTGTCAGGTTTTTTTTTTTTTAAAAAAATAAAGCGAACAACTTGAAGTTTTTCATTTTCTTTTGTGGGAGACGGGGAGCGACACAGGTCAGTGCTGCCCTATAAATGGTAGGATTACAGATAGATGGCCATGATGGTGGTCCAGCAGGCGTTTGGAATTGATCAAACAATCTTACCCACTTAAGTAGCTTAACCTTGGACAACAAAATAATTTGTCGGTTTTGGTAAAACTAGGTTTAAGAGTACAGCAATGTCCAACAGTAAAGTTTAAAGGAGAACATGATTAGCATCACACCAAGTAAAATGGGAGTTTTTAGAGAGGATTGTGATTTCCACAGGCAGTATAAAGAATGGTGGGACAGTTACAGATAAAATCACTACCAGTGGGAAAAGGGAGTGTTAAGGGGGATTAAATGAGTTATGACAATTCATTAAAATGTCACCGAGTCTGGCATGTGTCCCCTTTCCTGTTAACTCCGCTATTCTCTTTCAATTTTAGCAGTACAGGAGAGCAAGACAATTATATAATACTTATTATATATACCCTACCAAAACTGGGTCTATTCAAGCCTGGACTCCTCAGACACTGTCTGCAATTATAAGTCTGTATAAAATATCAACATCTCAAAAACCTGTTTGCCTAAGAATAAGCAATGTCCTCAACTGTGAGTCTCAACCACACAATAGACCAAAAACTGCATATAGATTGTACAGTCTGCTAGTGGGTGGTTTCAGTAAACCAACGCCCAAGGGTTGGACCTTGAGATCTTCTTATGTTTTTAGTGAGATTCTTCAGTTCTAGCTTTAGTTTGTGTGTATTCATAGATCATTGTAGTTTCTTAATCTCTTGAGTGACAGTTAAACTTAGGAGTTGGATGTTACTATTTAATGGTGTCATGGAAGCATTGTGGAGGAAGATGTACTGGATTAGCTTCTCATCTCCCACCTCCAAGGCTTCCTGTCAAATGCACCAACCACCATCCAAAAGGAATATTTAATTTTCCATTAAATAAAATGAAAATAAATCATCTAGCAGAAGCTACACAGATGCAGCAATAGTATCATTTATACAAGCTAAAAAAGGAGCCCAAATATCCATCAGCTGAAAAACGGAATTGCAAGACGGGTTTGTCCTCATAACGGACTGCTAGTCAACGGAAGGGAATGAATCGCTGATTCGTGTGCAACATGAACAGACCTCAATGTCCAGAACAGGCATGCTCCGACAATAGACACAGGAGCTGTAAGGGGAGAGAACAGAACTTCCTCATGTGGTCGTGGAAGAAGACACAGGTGATGGCCACAACAAAAGAAATAGATGTCCCTCAACTGCTCACATGAAAGTGGTTCATCCTATCTTGTAAATTTCACCTAAATTTGAAGAAATTTGGAGTGTGTACCAAATGGACAGAGAAGGGCTAGAGAGATGGGGAGAGTAAAGAGCTTGCATTGGAAGCATGAAATTACCAGGCCCCATGCAGCGCAGGGCCAGGTTAGCACTTGACTGTAATTCCAGTGCTTCTAAGGAAGATAAGAAAATCCCTAGAGCTCCCAGGCCAGCTAGCCTGGTATACATAGCAACTAACAAAGAGACCCTGCCTCAAAGTAGAACCTGAGAACAACACCTGAGATGGTCCTCAGACCTCCACACATTAGGCACATGTTTGCCTGCCTTCATACACATACATACATTCATACACGCGCATGTGTGCATGCACACACACACACACACACACACACACACACACAGAGGGGGAGAGCGAGGGAGAGACGGAAGTCTGGAAGCGGGGCAGAAGACAGAAAGAAGACCGATGTGTTCCTGTGCTTGCTTTCTAGAATAACACTGACCCAGCTCAGGTAGAAGGAGGTTAAGCTCAGGTACCCGATCTGCCATCATCAGAAACCACGTGGAAGGGCAGGTATGGACATCCTGATACCGCAGCAACTCTGGACCGGTTTTGGTAGTTCACCTTGGCAGGTTTGGCCCACATGCGTGTTGTGTGGGAGCATGGAGGTTTTTTCCTGACCCACAAGCCTATATTAGAATTATTTTAGCCACTCTCCATGTGTCCCTATGCACTGTTGTTTATTGAAGACAAGAAAAGAGATAGAGGGTTCCAGAAGCATGCAGCTGGAGCCAGCCCTGGAAATAGCTCCAGACATTGTTTGCAGAGTGTGGGAGCTCTCCACCTGGCTCTCCAGCATCCTTTGTTCCTCTTCTAGGTGTAGGTCTTTCCTCCAGCCCTGCTTCCCACATTCAGTCTCTGCTCTGTGGGACCATTTCTTGCAAGCTCATCCACATGTCCAATAATCTCCCACATCAAAAAATTAAAAATAGACCTAGTATATGATCCAACTCTCCAACTCCTGGGCATCTATCCAAAGGAAAAGAAATCAGTATTGTGGAAGAGACATATGTACCGAAATGCTCATTGTGGCGCTGTCAATAGCTAAGACATGGGACTAACTCAAATGTCTATGAAGGAGCAAATATATCTTTAAAATGTGGTATATACACCGAGCAGTCGTGGCACATGCCTTTAATCCCAGCACTCGGGAGGCAGAGGTAGGCAGATTTCAGTGAGTTCAAGGCCACCCTGGTCTACAGAGCAAATTCCGGAACAGGCTCCAAAGCTACACAGAGAAATCCTGTCTTGAAAAAAAAAATGACATATACATGGATTAAATACTACATAGGTTTGAAAAACAGAATTCTGTTATCATGTGGATGAACCTAGAGGACATGACAGTATCCCTTGGTATGCCAGGGGGATTGGTCACAGGAACCCCGGTACTTTAAATTATACCAACATAACCTCTAGTACATAATGTGACATAAGGATAGGGTAAGTAGTTGTGCTGGGTTGATCAGGAGTCAGTCTCATAAAGCTCCCTGTATGTTCAGAAGAGATGACAAGAAGGGGTAGGGGAGCTGGAGCGCCAGGAAAGGTCAGCTGGAGAATCAGCAGGGGTTAGCTGGAGAGTCATCAAAGCGTCTCTAGGGGGTTAGTGGCTTCGCCCAAGGACTGCAGAGGCTGCAGGTTTCCATACTGTCCCTCCAGCTATGATCTGGGGTTCACACAAGCACCAGGCAGTTGCACTCAGACTGTGTAGACAGCAATTCCTCCCTAATGTGATGAGCTGCAAGGCCCAGTGTTCAGGAGGCAGGGAGGCAAGGAAGGTCCCCTTTTTCTGTGTTATCACCCCAAACCATGACTTCCACAAGCCCACACCTCTTCCCCAAGCTGCATGCCTGCAGCACCAGCTGGACAGATCCACCTCCTAACTGCCAGTGGCAGCTCGCCCTCACTGGTGTCAAGATCACATGAGGTGGTCCTCACCCTGGTGATTCAATTCAGAAAAACAGACAAAATATACCTGTTTTGTGTTTTGTGTATGCTTGAGTTGCTATGATAAAAATATACACACAGAAATTAGATAATTGGCTCAATTAAATTAAACAGAATGAGGAACTATTATTTTTTATTTTATTTTATTTTGGTTTTTTTTTTTTTAAGACAGGGTTTCTCTGTAGCTTTGGAGCCTGTACTGGAACTAACTCTTGTACACCAGGCTGGCCACGAACTCACAGAGATCCGCCTGCCTCTGCCTTCCTAGTGCTGGGATTAAAGGCATGTGCCACCACCGCCCAGCTGAAACAATTATTTTGTAACCATACATTTGATCAGATGATAATACTCAAAATAGCAAAGCTCTACAATTCAATTTTAACAACTCAAATTTTAACTAGGCAAAGGACGCGAATAGGAATTTCTGTAAAGATACGCATGACCTTTGACATCGCTACAGCAACTAAACAATAAAACAACGGAGAGGTGGGAGAGGTGTCGCCTCATTCCTGTTACGATGGCTGTCGTTTTCCTTCCTTCCTTCCCTTCCTTCTTCCCTCCCTCCTTCCCTCCCTCCCTCCCTCCCTCCCTCTCTCCCTTCCTTTCTTCCTTTGTTTTAAAAAAGCGTCCTCTCCCTTCCAGGACTCTCACAAGCTTATAGTCTTTTATATCACCCTATTCCTGCCTAAGAGATAAACTCTGCAGTGTTGTGGCCAGCTCACCACCTCCCAGTTTACTACCCTCGACTAGCTGACAGCGACAGAGAGGTACAGAGAGGCACATTTGTGTTAAGTATGCCCTGAAAATAATGTTGAACAGGTATTTGATAAAGTTAATTTAAAACAAAGGACTTCTTCCCGATCTGGTCAGTGATGTAGAGAAGGAAAGAAATTGAGGTCCCACAGCAAGCAGAATAGAGCTGAGGGGGCAGTGGCGTCCCGCAGCTGAGCCCACGCCCCCATGTTTCACTTCCATCCCCTCCTTCCACCCTTAATACTACAAGCTAAACCTCCCTTTGATCCTTTCCCACAAGTCCAATAGTGCGGCTCGGGTTCTGATTGGGAGAAATTTGACAGGAAAAGGAAACTACGGGCCCTAGAAAGAAGTTCTTTGCCAGATATTAAGACGCTGCTCTGCAGTTGCATGCAGCTTTGCGTGGCGCGACTTCTCTCTGGGAAGCTCAGTTTAGACTTGTTGGAATTGCAAAACAGATTTAAGATCAAGGCCGTGGGACTCGTGGGTGCAGCGCACAGCTTGGTAACCACCCCGATGACGATTGCACAGAGTTCGGCCTTCGGGAGGTCTGGTGTGCAGGA